ATTATTGGTTTATTTTATTAAACAATATAAATAAAAAGTATATGCATCTATTTTTATATTTATATAGTGCTAAAATTTTTTGAAACAAAAAATTTCTCTGACAAATTCTGACGGAGGATTCTTTAAATTCACCGTGGTTAAGTTTCCTCGGTCAAAGGTTAATTTCAAAATCGTACCATTACAATAATAAAATGTAATTTATAATTTTAATAATGCCTCATTGAATATATACTTTTAAATAGTGAATAATTCTTATGTCTTCTGCTCATTAATTATAAATCAACCTTTCGATAGACTATTATATTTTTTTAAATATAATAATAATAATAGAGTTAATAACACTAAAGCAAATAAATATATGATAGCTATGATGATAAATTATATTTACTAAATTACAATGCTTCAAAGACTTCAATTCTCTTTTATTTAGCCGATAACGTGATATTTCACCTACTGAAACAAAGATTTACAATTAAGTGTGACGTTTTGTCATTTTAAATTTCTACAATTAAAAAATTGTGGCTATTGGTTTGATTTTCTTATTATTAATCCCACACCAGAGGCCGTATCAAATTCATTTTCTAAAGTGATAAAGTAATTATCCCATTTAATTCTTAAAATCTAAAGGTACATATTCATTTAAATTTTCAATTGATTCAGCCTTTTCCTACCAAACAAACCATTAGAAATTCTTTCTTGATTTTATAAGTTGTTTTACTTTTAGAAACACGTTCCATTATAAAGAATAATAAAGTTAGATTAAATTTACAAAATTATTAAAAAAAAATTATCACATGATTTTACCGACTAGAATGATAATAAAAGAGAGTCTGAAATTTTAAAATTTATATATAGATATATAGGCATATATAAAATAATGAACGATACAAAATGAAAGTAGTCTTTAGTTTTAATTCTATCAGCTTATTTTTTTCATTATCATAAAATTTTGTGAGGTTATTGGTGTCGTTTTCAGATGGCGTGAACCATATCAAAGAATTAAGAGTGATCTACTATTACATTTTATTATTATTATTATTATGACCCGTATTGAAAGGAAATTACAAGAACATATAGAGAAAAATAGATAAATATTGTGATTCATATTATATTTTCTTTGATATTTCCTAACACCTGTGCTACCATTAAGGGTACCTAGTGCAATACATTGTTGTTTGAATTTTCTATAGAATGGTTTATATTTGTAATGTAATTTTGTTTTTGGGCTCATCCCTTATTAGAAGCGTCATGCTAGCAAGGCCAACAAATCTAATTATTGTCATTACGATAGATCAATATCGGTAAAACATAGTCTTTAAAAGGAAATTTTCCAAGCATCGCATGACTTCAAACTCATAGCTTTTTTTTTTGTTAGTAAATTTTAAAAAAAACTCTATCGATAAACTAGAGATATTATTCTACACTATATTCAAAAATGGGAATGATATCTCTTTTTCCGTGGACTAGTAGCATTTAGAAAAATGCGTTTTTCGGAATATGATCAAAAACTCTCTGTACCACCGATATAACTAGAGACACTGACTGTACTATATATACTATATTCAAATATGGGAATAACATCTCTTTTTTTCATGGACTAGTTCAACACACAAGTTATTGACTTTAAAAGAGTTATTGCATCATTATTGTGTCAGTTTATTGTTGTAGTTAGAACTAGAGAAAACAAGTAATACAAGGCTAATTCGTCCTAAGTCTTAAGTAGAAGAGATCAAAACTGAACTTTTAAAAAAATATAAATCATATTCAGAAAAATATGACTCTTCTTCTGAGACCATCACGATGAATCAGGCCTCAAAGTGTAATTATTTCAAAATAATAATCAATCAACTACTACAAACAACGAATTTATTCAGAAGAAATTGAATGTTTAGATTGGTATGCATCAAGAACAATATTATCATTTGGGAAAATGACATAGATAATAGAATTAAAAGAAGATCTAACTAAAAAAAAACAAAAAACATAAATACAAATGAAAAACCTCAAAATCAAATGAATCTAAACCAAAGGAAATTACATTAAGCACACTACTTAATAATGTGGTTATTTTGGAAGAAGCAATAAAAGAATTAGTGGCTATAATACAAGTCAGGAGAAGTTTGGGTATTGATGAAGTTAGATACTTGTAGCATTAGAATGTTATATTTATTACTTTATTGTTGCTGTTTATTTATTGTATATATTAATTTCGATTTCCGAGTTAGATATATATCTATTTATATATTATTTAAAAATAAATAAAAAGAGATACTTGTCATGCATGATTTATTAATCAAAATTTTCAATTTGTGGTGGAACTTGCTCGTTTATCTACAATATAGATATGATGGTTTTGTGATGACTACTTCTACCACCTAAGTGTGTATACATATCTTTGCATCAATTTGAAATTCATTTTGATTCCATTCAGACTAAATTTTCTTCCCTAAATTTTCAAATTGCGTAATGATCTTCAAGCCAACAAAACTTAATTATTGTGTGATATATCTGGAAGAGGGATCATCACAAAATTAGCCAAATGCTGTATTTTGTTGTGTTACACAAATCTTTGGTTTTCTCCGATAATGTAGCATACATATTTGATTAAAATAGAAATGCCGATCGATGCACACAAAAAAATATTAAATGAATGAATGGCTTTGCTTTCACTATCACTATACAAATTAAGTTAATTGATCTAATCTTTAAACGATTAGAATTTTTTTCAAATTGAAATTTTTCCGACAAGTTATTTTTTTTTGATTTTTCTTTTGATGGCTGATTTTGTGAAGTTATCGATATTTGGAACTGTTTTCGAAGTTACTACAAGGCATTTTTATACTTATTTTATTATTATTAAAGCATTTTCAAATAGTAAACATGTAAAGTAAAACTTTTTAAAAAATACCTTAGATATGTGGATCTTCAACCAGTTGGCATGGGTGCATTTGGATTAGTTTGGTAGGCTCGGAAAGTTATATTTACGTTAAGTAATGCTTCACATTAAGTTAAAATTTTTCGATTATTATACATTAGTTCAGCAAAAGACCAACTTACTGGAGTTAATGTCGCCATTAAGAAAATAATGAAGCCTTTTAGCACATCTGTTCTTTCAAAAAGGACTTATCGTGAATTAAAGCTACTCAAGCATCTAAAACATGAAAATGTGATTATTATTTTTATTATTCATCAATTATTTTGAACTAATGACTAATTTGTTTATTATTTATATCTCTTTTAATAAATATAGATTATCAGTTTAAGTGATATTTTTATTTCTCCATTAGAAGATATGTATGTATGTGTAAATTAATGAAAAAACAATTCATCATAATGAAATTTTTTTTGGTAAAAATCAATGATAATCGATATTGATATTTGTTTTAAATATCAATGTATACAGATATTTTGTTACTGAATTATTAGGAACAGATTTACATCGATTGTTAACTTCACGACCATTGGAAAAACAATTTATTCAGTATTTCTTATATCAAATATTGGTAAAGATTCTAAAGTATATTGATAATATTCTTTTTTTTCAAAAAAAGAAAAGTTTTATATTATATTTATATATATAGCGTGGGTTAAAATATGTTCATTCAGCTGGTGTAGTTCACAGAGATTTGGTTTGTAATAATTATAAATTTTTTATATTTTAAAAAGTAAGAATTAATAATCACATTATATATTCATTTTAGAAACCTAGTAATATTCTAATTAACGAGAATTGTGACTTGAAGGTTTGTATAAAATATATTTTAAAAATAATTTAATATCATACATGCATTCATACATATAATATATTATATTTTTTAAAGATCTGTGATTTTGGTCTGGCTCGTATTCAAGATCCACAAATGACTGGTTATGTTTCAACAAGGTATTATCGAGCTCCTGAAATTATGTTAACATGGCAAAAATATGATGTAGCAGGTAACGAATTATGTCATTGTATTATATATCAATGTTATTTATTTGAATAATTAGATTTTTATATTGTATAGTGGATATTTGGAGTGCTGGTTGTATCTTTGCAGAAATGTTAGAGGGAAAACCTTTATTTCCTGGGAAAGATCGTAAGCTGTAATTTTAATTTGATAAAAAAAAACATTTTGAAAATTATTAATTATTATTAATTTTTTTTTTAGATGTAAACCAATTTTCAATTATTACTGAACTACTTGGTACACCACCAGAAGATGTGATCAAAACAATCTGTAGTGAAAATGTATTATTTATTTATTCATTCGTTTGTTCAGTTTTTTGGCTTGCCTGTTATTTAAAAACTAAACAATGTTTTTCTTGATTTGTAGACTTTAAGATTTGTACTCTCATTACCGAAAAGAGAAAAGATTCCATTCTCACAAAAGTTTACAAATGCTGATCCTGATGGTAATCAAATGATATATAATTATTGCACATTTAATTACAAATGATAATAGGCTATTTTATAATGATTTTTAAATTTTAAAGCACTCGATTTACTTGAAAAAATGCTTGTATTTGATCCAAAAAAACGTATTACTGCCGAACAAGCTCTAGCTCATAAATACTTGGAACAGTATCATGATGAATCAGATGAGCCAATTGCTGATGAAGCATTTGATTGGTCGTTTAATGATGCAGACCTTCCAGTTGATGAATGGAAAGTTAGAATGTATCAAGAAATTTTAGGTATTATTTATTTATTTAAGGAATTATTTTTTAAAATCTTTATTCTTTATTTGTTAATAATCTCTATTCTATGATATTTGTGAAAAGATTTTCATAAAGTTGATGGTCTAAATTCAACCAGCGTGCAATAAAAAATTTTATCCTTAAAGAAAAACTTTATCAATGTTATTCTGTTATTTTTTTTTTTTTTTTGATATTAGTATAGATGATATTAATTATAAATTATTTATTATAGGATGATAAATTATTGGTTTATTTTAT